TTGTTTTCACACAGTGTTTCTCAAACATTTTCTCATTGTTGCCCCCCCAGGGGCTTTCTTAGACATTTATTCCTAATTGCCCCCTCCTCCCCCATTAAGTTGTAGGTAATGTGGATATACAGTTCACCTGTGATACACATTTCACCCTTTGGAGGGCCACAAGCCATTGTAGTAGCTGAGTCTTTTTAACACCCTCCCCCACCAAAAATAGATTTTGGGGGGGCAGTTGTGCCGGGTGGTCCAGCCTACAGTGCTCGGTGTCGGAGGGTTATTTTTAGGGCACGCTTACACAGCGCTGGAAGGTGTGCAGGTTCATGCTCCTATTACTTCCATCTCACAGCCGTGTTAAGTAGCTCGCCCAAGTTCCTGTAGGGATTTGACCAGAGCACCATCCTGTCTCTCATTTGTCAAGCATGTCTGAGCATTGCTACGAGTGCACTGACAACCTCAGGCGTGCCGGGGTTGAATGCCAGCCCTTCTGTGTCCCCCTGTTTCTGTCGTTGTGTGCTGCAGTGGTGGAGGGTGGTGTCAGCCTCATAGAGACTCTTTCTTGATGCTCTGATCTTATCCTGCCTCATAGACCAGCCCAACAAATGCCCTTTATGGAAAGACTTGTGAAGGGTGGGGGGAGGAGATGTAACATAATACCCAATTTTCTTCCTGCCCTCAAAGAGGCAAATGATCTAGTGAAGCAGATAAAGCAGTTGGACATACAAGGCAAGCAGCCCTACAGGAAAGAATATTATAAGAGGACATAAAAGTACAGACAAAAACGCTACTGAAGTCATTTATTGTCTCCTGCCCCTGGGTGAGCTCGTATTTTCTTTCAGTGGGAAGGGCTCTCAGTCTTGTCACCAGCTCCCCAAACAAACTTGGTTAGACTGAATCACCCTCATCCACATCTGTCCCTATTTTCAGACATTGTACATAAGTATCCACTTGGCAGTTGGTTAGTACATGTTGATGGATGGATGGATGGATGGATGGAGGAATGAACAGACACTAAGCTCACAAACATTTGACTGGTTTTCTCTGATAACCACCATGAGTATAAAATGGAATGTAACCTGTAATTTCTTAAGCTCAGAAGACCGTGCCACTCACAGATGCATCTAAATTGCATGTTATTTTCAAAATAGAGTTGTTCTAATTAATGTATTTTAAAAATATAACCCAGAGGACATCCCTTTCTAAGGACTCCTCAGGATAATTTTATTAGTTCTTCCTCTGAGGAAGCTGTATAGGATTTTTCAAATTTAATGTCTTTATCATTTACTTAAGCCCTGCTGTGAGCAAAATACTGGAAGCACTGGGTCAGGTGCTGAAAGCAGTGGAGAGGTGACCCAGCACCATTCCTGTCCTGCAGACCCTTACCGTCCCGAGGAATCACCATGGTGTCACGGGCTTGGAGCTGACATATACCAAGTTTGGAGAAAAGTCCATTCCCGGTGCCATTGCCCATCCTCTGAGGACACAGAGGCAGGATAATGCTTTCAACCTTATTCACAGTTGGACACATTTTGGAATTGATGTTTTAATTCCTCTGACCCTTCTTAAAACTATCATTTTGTTCACGAACCAAAAGGTCTGGGATCTCTGAAATTCCAGATGGCTTGCAGGATTGCACGCCTTTAGATCAATTTCACAGGCTGCACTAGGAAACCAAATTGCAGCACAGGTTTTAAAGGACTTTGGTCCTTGTGTCTCTCAAGATAATGGTGAAATCGAGTTTGTCTACTGCTCTGTGCTCCCTAAAAATCAAGACACCCTTCCAAGAAAATCAAGCCAAGGTGACCACCCAAGCTCTGTGCCCAGCACAATACATCCCAGAAAATTTCCTCATGATCCAGAGTTACTGGGGGAGAGCAAAGGACTGGTTCTCAAAGACTGAGCCAATTATAGAGGCTCTTAGGCTCTGCAGTGTTCATGGGAAAAGACAACTTGGTAACCACGTGAGCAGCCTTGTGAGCTGGTGACTGAACAATCATGGGGTTCCAAGTGTGCCTCTGATTTGCTTTGTGGCTGGGAATCAGCCCCTTTGTGTTTCTCCTTCCCCATCAACATGACAAAAGTTATTTACGAGTAGCTCCGTATAGTCTAGCATGCTTGCCCATGCTGCTAAGGGCATCTTGTCCAGCTGCCCCTGCCTGGGACTCTCCCATCATCACCAGGACCTGCTCAAGGCTTGGTCCTTACAAGTGGCCCAGGGAAGTTCCTTGTGCTGGTTTCAGGGGGCCAAATTCTGAGCAGCTCATAATCACCTTACTTCCTGCCTGGGAATGCCGTCCTCCCAATTCTGCTACTCTAAGCATGTATCCACATGTAATCACCCTAAGACAAACTTAAACTGTGTTTTTTTCACTATTCTCTTCCAGAAGCGAGCACACTAACAGCAAACATAAAAAATAATGCAGAAAGTGAAACCTATATCGAGGATGAGTCTGCCCTTCCAGACAGGCACAAGGCAGTGAGGGAATTTCTGAGAGCAGCGACTCTGGCTGGATGTTGAGGGTCGAGCGTTCAAAGCTATGACACCACGTGTGGAAAATAAACTGGCAAAACAAATTTCAAACTGGTGACATCATTCTGGCTCTGTTTCTACTACACCAGTAAAACCAGTTGGAAAAACAAAAATGGAATCAACTTAATTGTCAAGCTGACACCAAATTATGGCGGGCCTGTTGGTTTTCTTCTTCTTTTAAATACCAAGATCAAATAATCATTTATGTAAGTGTATTACCTAATTGTTCTGCTAACATGTGATGAATGACCTTCACATTTCAGTGACGATAGGCCCAGTTGCTTGTACATAAACACACCACCCCAGCACTCTCTCGTGTCATTTGTTTGTTTCAAATATTCTGATAGACTAAAAGGCATCCAATGACGAAACGCATAGAAAAGTAGACATCGCCCACTAGATGTTCTTGGTGACAAGGCTGAGTTCTGTTTAAGCAGCCAAGTATGCTGTTTACATCATTCCCAACTGCCCAGCATTCACGAGAAAATCAAGTTCCTGCTTTAAACCCAACTGACCCTTGGGCAACATTCAAATCCCACAGGTCATAATCTGATACCCAAACCTAGTAAGAGGCAAGCATGTGATTGGGAAGAGTTGGTCCAGAGAGATGCTGCACAGCAAGCGCAACTCAGATACTCTCCTGCTCCTAGGTTTTATGACACCAACCGTCCCTTCTCTCACACACGGAGTCTTTCATCTGCCAGATTTGCAAACATCAGCCCGTAATCCTCACAGCATCCTTGTGAGGTAGGCAGGTGGTGCATGTTGCAATCCCTCATATTAAAGATGGAAAGATGATACTGGTGATAAAAACTAAAGCACATGGAACAGTGTCAGCACCATCACATCAAAAGACCTGTGGCTTTCTCAGGAAAAAAAAAAAACGGGTAACTGTCACATGTATCCTCATCCATTTTACTGTTTTACACAGATGCTAATGTCCAGCTAGTTTTGAAAGTCTACAGCACAAAGAGTTGAATTACTACATTGTTCAAAGGGACAGAAAACTCTCTTGGAAATCAGGCATTCTTTTTTAAGTATTTTATTTATGAAAAACACCAGCAGAGTACAGAAATGTTCTCCTGATTCCACGTGGTCCCTGGCTGCTCCTCAGCCAGCGTGAGGAGGTGACATTTAGCCTCCCCTACTGACAAACCCTCCTGGAGGAGAGCCCTCCAGATTCATCGGAGCGCGCCGGGCACCTCCGTCAGCAGGGGAGGCGCCTTGACTGAAACCAGCGCCTGGAATGGACTGATGGAGACTGTCCCTGCCTTTGGGTCTTCAACGCCCATGTAAAACTGAACTCCTCAAGACCGACAAACCTTAAACAGAACCAAGCTTTGGGCTGGGAGGGAGGAGGGATCGGGGAAGGGGGCCTCTGAGATTTCTCCCGTGTCCCAACGAGTCCTGCCTCCTGGAAGGGGAGGGTGGAGGGGGCCCTGCACCCCTTCCTGGGTCAGCTGGGGCCTGCGGCCGGGCTCCTGCGCTCGGGACCCCGGCGTCAGGACGCGGCGCTCAGCATCCCCACCCGTGCGGTGGAAACCTCTTTTCTGCCGTCTCTTCTCTCCTCTCCTTTCCCTCGTTCTCACGTGCGCGCGGGCCACACACACGCCCCAAGCTTGGCACGCGTACCTCTCTCCGACCCGCTGGAGACCTGGGCCTTGCAGCGTCCCCACCCCTTTTGGAACGCCTTTCACAAGTGGGGAATCCTCCCCTGTGAGTGGAGGGAAGACAGGGGTCCAGAGCTGCCCCGGGTAGGCGCAGGGAGGGTGAGGGGCACTTTTTCCTCCTTTGGCGGCGGGGGCCCGGGCCTAGGTCTGTGAGCCCCTCGCAGGAGGAGCTGTCCTAGAGTGAGTGGCCGAGGAGGAGGGGAGGAACGGGGCCGGAGCCGGAGGCTAAGAGGGGATGAGGTTTGGGGAGGGCGGGGCAGGGCAGCGAGGGGAGTGGAAGAAGAGAGCGGAGGCACCGGAGGGGGAGGGGAGGGCCAGGGGTCGAAGAAGTGCAGAAGGCGCCGGGGCAGGGGCGGCGGTGCCCAGCACCCTTCAAGTCCTGAGCCGGGTCCCGGGAGGATCCCCGGCCCGGTCCAGGCCCCGCCCACGCCCATATCACCTCGCCCCACCCAGCCCAGCCCCCGCATAGCCCCTCCCCGCTCAGACCCCGCCCTCCCCGCCCCCATCCAGGCCTCGCCCCGCCCTATCCAGGCCTCGCCCCCCACATCGCCCCGCCCACCGTCCAGGCCCCGTCCCGCCCCAGTCCAGGCCACGGCCCGGCCCGCCCCACATCGCTCCGCCCCGTCCAGGCCCCGCCCCCGCCCGCCCCTTTCCCGCGGCGGCGCCCTGGAAATATGAAGAGGAGCTGCGGCGGTTGCGGCGGCGGTGGCCAGTGCAGCGCGGAGGGGCGACGGCGGCCGGGCGAGCACGGGGCGGCCGGGCGCGCAGGGCCGGGCGCGGGACGGGAGGCCGGGAGCGGAGGGGCCGGGCCGGGCATGGGGCGCGCCGCGGCCGCCTGAAGCGCGGGCCTGGCCCTGTCCCCGCGCGGCCGGGCCGCGCCGCCCGGGCTGCAGGCGGGTCCCGGGAAGCTGGGTCCCCGGACGGCGGGCGGTGCGGCGCGCGCGGGCGGCCCCGGAGGAGGCCTGGAGATGTCCTGTGTGCGCCGCCTCCTGCTCACATCCCTGTTCCCGGCCCTCCTGCTTCACGGTGAGTCTGGGGGCGCCGGGAGCCGAGTGGACACCCCGGAACCGAAGGGACCGCGCGGCCGGGTGCAGCCCCGTCCTGGGCGCCCTGGAAGAGTCTCGCCTTTCCGGGCGCCGGCCGCGCTCTCTCTGGAAGGGCGCGCACACAGACTTTATGTCCAAGTCCCGGGACACTTGTGTCCACTCTGCGGGGTTTCAGACCATAGGCGGTCATGGAACCGCAGGCTATGCGACCCTTTACAGAGTGTCAGAGCGCAGGCAAGGCTCTTGCTGGGGTCCAAGCTTTGGGGGCACTGTGCAGAGAACTGTGATCATTTCAGGGAAAAAGCAGCTCGGGGTGTTTGTGTTCGCCCCTCGGACGAGTGTGTTGAGGGGCTGGGGAGGGGTCTCTCCCAGGTGGACCGGTAGGTTCTCTTGACGGACTTTCAGGGAGCAGGGGCCTCCTAGCAGCCAAGGTGCAGTAATTGAAACCAGTCCCCTAAGTTCTCCGGGACCTGAGCTTGTTTCCTCCCGCTCTTCTGGGTCGTTTTGTTTCTGTTTCATGTGTCACATGTCGTCAGCAGCTCTAGTAAACCCTCAGCCAGAGAACAGCAGGCTTTAAAAGAGTTCCAGGAATTGCACTGAGGAAAATAAGATAGCATTGCACCGGGAGTGGGAAGGCAGATTTTGTGCGAGATCTGTGGCGATCATGGGGACAGGTGGCTGCAGAACACGTGCTGATCCAGATGTCCTGGGCCAGCTTTTCCTAACGGTGGACACCTGACTGTTCAGCAGAGTGTCCACCAGGAGCAGGGCTCTCCTGCCTCCACACCCACCACGGGCACCCCAAACCTCTGCACATCGGGGTCATCAGGTCAGCACCCTCATGGCCTCTAGGTTTCCCATCCAGCTTCAGAAGGCATTTGGCCGGCGCTGAAGGTCAGGGGTGACTCCCACACCATCTAGGAAGGGGAGGAGACAGCAACCCGGGAGCCCTGCGCTGCTGTATTCTTTGTCACCCTGCTGGGGCCAGCAGTATGGGCAGCGCAGGTCCACAGGCCCTGCACACAAGTTGGGCTGGGCCAGACCTGCCTGATTGCCAAGGTGTGTCCGGAGCCCCAGTGATCCCAGACTTTCAAAGTCAGGATGGAAGGCTGGCAGTTCGAGGGCCAGAGAGAGAAGGTGTAATTACAGGGTTGTACTCCTAGGCCCATCTGCTTAGAATTACAGAGCCGTTTTCATCTTTGGCTGAAACATGAAACACATCAGAGCCAATGGGCAGATCAAACAGCAGCTGCCACCCACACCAGAAACAAGAGGCAGAGAGAGAGAGGACACAGGGGAGAGTGTCCACTAAAAAAGATCCTGTCGTATCTGTGCAGGAAAATGGTCCTATGGGCAAATGCCTTTAAAATGAAAAAGTACTCGACAATTTGGCATGAACAGAATTTTTTTTTTCATAAAGCCATTTGCCTTTTGGACTACAAAAGCCATGCTCAGAAACACAGCCTGGGCCAACCCACCCTGAACTTTTCTTCCTTGTTTTGAGAGCTGGAAGTTGTAACCACACTTCCTGCACCACAGTGTGGTAACGGCTGGTAAGGGGAGCCCGAGTATACCCTCAGTGAGGTTCAAGTATAGCCCCAGATCTCCAATTTCCAGCTGGAGTCAGCCTGAGCTCCTTGAGGTCAGGGGTTCACCCAGATCCACAGTGTGCAGGGAGGGAGTAAGGAAGGGGGGAATAAGCCAGTGGGGCCAGACCCCGTGCATGTGTGCATGTGTGTGTGCACATGTGCATATGACGAAGAGTATGTAAAATAAAAAAGGAGGTTTGCCAAGTTTAATGGGATGACGGGGATAACCCTGCAAAAAGTCACCCCATTTCAAAGTGAACCTGCAGTGGCAGAGTTATTCACACTGCTGTTGCCCACAGAGCAACTGCGCTCGTTCAGGGCGCGTGGGACTCCAGCACAGAGGAGAAACCGAGGGAGTGGTCCTTCTGGGTATAAATCTCTGCGATTTGAGAGAGGCTTGTCACGATTCCTTAGGATAATGTAAAGCACCAAGAAAAAATTGGGTATTCTCCGTTTCCCCCTTTTCTGCCTGATTTTTACTTGATTGAAGTAGTTTTAATGGGAAATGGGTATTAATCAACCTAACCCAAGGGAATGGCTTGAGAGTGTGTCCTACTCTGTAGTTAGGGGTTTTGCAAGTATTTAAAAATTCTGTAGTAACAGATGGAGCTTGATTAAGTATCTTAATAGAAGTCATCAGTCTGAAGGAAGTTACCTGTACTCTTTTAGAATGGCTTAATGATTTTTTTCCTGATACAGAGGCATTTTTATTTTGCTACGTGTATATTTATGACAGCAATTAGGTAGGTAAAAACATATTTTCTATGGTTATGAATGTACTTGGGACCAACTTTATGAAATTTAGTTCCAGACATCATTTATAGATTATTTGTTACACTAACAAGTCTCATTAATAAGATTAACAAGTGCACAAGGCCTTCAGGAAGATTCTGGGTGAAGATGCTGTAGAAACTCTTTATTGTGTTTGGCATCCGATCTTTGTTCAGTTTTTTTGGTTACTTTTATTTCAACTCAGGCAAGTTATAAATCACCCCTAGGTCCTATTGGTGAGTAAATTAGGGTCTGGAAAGACTGGAGTCCATTGTTTATTTTTTGCTGTGTTTTAAAACTGTAAATGTAGTGGGAGACCCAAGTTCAAAATGTGACGGCGTAAAAGTATACATGTTGGTCTGACTTTCCTGTCCTCCAGCGTCTGAGAACAATTGCATTTCTTAATCCAAGTAAAACCTATTGAATGTCATGAAGGTATGCAGCTGGGGTATGTCCCTTGTCACTGTTTTATTTGCTTAGATGAAAAGCCATGAAAATCATTCTGTTCCAGAAACCAGATTAACATGAGATATTTCAGAAAAAGTGGTGCTTTAATGTGCCCCAAAGTGCTCACTCTCTTTATTAATGGAAACATTTGACTTTAAGTTTTGGAGCCGTTGTCGGGGAGATGTTCTTCCATCGCCATTTACTTTTGTAGAATTCATCGACTTTTCTGAAATGGGAAGACACTTCTGAGCTATCACCTTTCACTTGAGTGTATTCTACTAAAACTGAACAAACAGACAAACTGAGGATTTACCGAGTGACTGCTTAACCAACAAAATGTGAGGAAACATTACAGTAGGGTAAAGTAGAATCTTCGAAATATCATTTTACTGGAGGCAGTTTTTGTGACCAAGAAAACATTGCCTTTCCTGCACTTTTTCCCCCTTAGTCATAAAATGTAATCTTGAAAAGAAATATTACTCATCTGTTCATAGCAGGGAGCAAGGGTCTTAGATGGTAAATATTCTCTTTTGAGAGAAACTGACTGTCTTCAAGCACGTGGCTGAGCCGTCCCGTCATAGCCGTGGTCCTTCCTTTTCTCCCTAAATGAGTAAAGAACTCAACACCAGTGGATGATAGGACTGTGTAAATACCTACCGTTCAGGGACAGACTGATGACAATTTGATAGAATCAATTAAAGGGAAGCATAAAACGTTTAGGACTGGAAATATGAAAGGACTCATTAGTGATCTCGTACACCTGTGGAAAGCTGACATGGCAGCACGTGGCCTGTGTGCGGCATTGAAGCGATCCCAAGGGAAATCTCAGGAAGAACCTGCCACCATCCGAGCATGAGCTCTTGCTGTGTCCAGATGTTATGCGCACAGGCCATTGAGTTCTTTTCAATTTGGGTTCATATTGGGAGTAAAGTTATTTTGGAATTTCATGTGATAGGGATCTAGGTCAGAGTAAGGATGTGGTGTCACCCTGTAGTGACTGAGGCTCGTCTGTTCTCGAAGGGTTTTCTAGCTTCATTCCTTCAGCCAACCATTCGGTCAACAGGTACATTGAGAGGGCCTCCTGCGTGCCTGTGTCACTGCCGGCTGGGGACAGGGCTGTGAGGAGGGGCAGCCCCCCTTCCTGAAGAGTCCTGAGAATACCTGGCAGGATGAGAAGAGCTTATTGGAGAGCCCAGAGGTGGGAGGCTGGCACACTGCCTTGACTGCGGTGTTCTTCCCTGCTGGGAATCCCAGCACTCCACACACACACACGCACACCCCACACACATCATGCACACACCAGACACACAAACACACACATACCATGCACGTAGTCAGACACACCACACACAGACACACACACCATGCACACACACATACGCATACACACACACACACACACACACACGACTGTGTGAAGAGCACGGCTATGGCGGCAGCCATCAGCTCCAGGCCCAGCAGGAAAACCATGCTGTCTGTGGTTGGACCCCAGTGTCTGGCCCGGTGACCATGGCCTTAGAAGAAAATGACTTAGAAAATTACCTCATTTTCATCAAAAGTTAAATGAAACCAGGAATTTGAAGTCTTGACTTTACTATGTTTCTCATAAAGGGAAAGTGCTTTTAGATAAGGTTTAAAGATTGGCAAAAGCAGCTCTCTCAGCTTTGATCTCCAACAACATGGAAATAAAAGCAAGCGCTTGGTGAGTGTAGGTGCCCACCTGGGAGTGAACGGCAGCTTTTGTTCCAAAACATGGAAGCTGTGCAGGCGGTCATGCATCCGCCTCGACTTCACAGCCCACATTACAGTGATGATGGCTCTTTTACCGGGCCTGGGCGATTTCACGGCAAAGTAATCACCTGCATTTCCCCTCATCGCTCCCGTTTCCTCTGCTGCGTGTTCTTCTGCATCGCACCAGTTCCACCGTGAGATGCTTCCTCACTCTGGTGTGGGAGTGACGCAGGTCACGTTGTATCAAGGACAGAAACGTGCAAAGTGAGCGGGAAAGGGCCTTTCAGAGACCCTCTCAGAGACCACCATTGTGAATGTCTTGACATTATATTTATTTGGCCGTTTTGATTTTATTTTTTTAAGCATTAAAGTACCTCTGCAGTGACTAACCCGATCAAAGATGAGTTCATTCCCAAGTGTGCCTGAAAAGTGTCTCCTTCCG